TGGGACTCTCCAGCCCTGTGCAGTGTAAGTGCCCGCGGGAGGGCTGGGCCGGCGGGCGGGCGCCGGGGACGGGCCCCTGGCTATTACGGTTAATTATTATTCTGATGACCGTCATCTTCATTTGGATTATTCGGCCGAGAGGCTGCAGGCTGTACTTGTCGCTCAACTAGGGTAGGACTACGCACCAGGGCCGAGAGGAACATCGCGGGTGTCTCCAGTATGAGATGACACTGAACTTCACGGGTCAGCTAAGGATGCAATTTTCACTCCTAGATTCCCCGCGCTGTCTTTTACAAATACATTTTTTTTTTCTTTCCTCTCCATCATCGCGGCATGTGAGCAGGAAGATGGTGCGTAGTTCCCATCTCCATCCTCCGACAGAACAACTGGTCAAGGTGCCCACCGTGCATTTGGCAGGTGGCCCTAAACCCGCATCGTGGGTTGTTTTGTTTTGTTTTTTAACTGGAAGGGAAAGGCACGTTTCGATGGTGGAAAACTTAGCTCTAGGAGGAGAGGCGGAATGTTAACTTGGAGACCCGGCTGCGACTGGGGTCCGGGTGCTCTTCGCGGCATCTAGGCGCTCTGCTCCCGCCTGCGAACTTTCCCCATTACTCCTGGGCGTTTGGGGTGCCGGAGAAGGAAGCCCTGGGGCGGGCGAAGTCTCCTGACCGGGCGTCTCTGACCCAGGATGGGTCCAGGACTTCACCGCCGGCGGTCGCTGGGCAGCGTCGCACCTGCCTTGACCTCCGCTCGGGGTCCCGCCACTCTGCTCTTTGGGGGGTCCCCTTGCAGCCCCGACTCACCGCTCTCGAGCGGGGAGCAGAGCCTTGTGCTCGGCAGCTCTTGCCCCGCCAGAGCCCAGACGGGGAGCCACGTCCGCGGAATTCCTTTCGTTTTCTAGAAGCCCGTCTGGTGAAGCCCCCAGGCAGGGGTGGAGAAGCGCCCGGGCCCCGCCGCCCACCACTCTCTGCGAACCTTAAAGGACTGGGTGGGTTGGCGCCCCCGAACCACTCTCCCCGAGGAGACCTTGCGCTGGCCAGGACACCTTAAGCAAAGACGGCTGTGTCGGCCCAGAGCGCTTAAATCCATTTTATGAAACTTTTTTTTTGTAAGGGCGGTCAACCCTTGGAAAAGTTTTGAGTACTACGATGCCGGGAAGTAGGACGTGAACCAAGGCTGTTACTAAAAATAGTATCCACACTGTCCCCCACCCCCGCCCTAGGCCTTTCAGTTTTCAGGGTTCGACTGGGGAGCTTTGCAGCCCTTGGTCTCTTTATTCCTCGCAGAACGTAGGGTAGAAATCTTTAGAGCATAGCTTCCCCCCTCCCAAGATTGGGCACCTCAAATCCCAGCGTGCCCCAGCCTGGTTGCTGCTTCCTCAGGGAACCTGCAGAATGTCGCTTTAAGGAGTGGCTAGTACTCCTCATGGAGGAGGTCCTGCAGACCCGTCACCGAGGCCAGGGCGAGGGAGTGAAGACCAGGAGAGCTGGAGAGGCCACTTCAGACCAACTTCATGTGCTTCATGTAACTCTGAGCCCCCTTGAATTTTTAACTTCGCTTCCCTTAATTAATCTGCCCAGGGCCTGTATATAAAAGGCTGTCCACAGCTGCTGCAAATTGATTTATCCCCTGATAAAGGTCGGGTTGCTGACCAAAGCATTTTCTTTCTACCTTCTGTGTGAACTGAAATCTGTTTTACAGGTTTTTTTTTTTTTTTTTCTCTCCTAGTCTCCTTTTAAACATCTGTATGGTTTTTAAGTGCACTCAGTGGCTTTTATTATCATACCCCTCCCTTTGCATAGAACAGGAGTGGAACTGGGTCTGTGCCCAGTGAGTCCACACTTACCAGAATACAAAATGACCAGCTTCTCTGTGATAAACGGCTTGTTAGTGTTGGGGGCTTCCTTTTAGTTTATTGCAGCGTTTTGCCTTGACCATGTGAGTCTTCTGTTGTGCCTTTTCTCCTGTCACACAGTTCCTTAGAAGAGGTCAACAAACACTATTGTTTCTTCAGCCATCATAGCTCCAACCTGCGTGTTTATGCCAGCTGTGATGTGGACAACTAGAAGCAAGTCCATAATTCTACCTTAAAGTCTAATTTAGTAGTAACATTATGGAGCCTTTCAAATCACATAGGTAGGGCTCTCTGATTTCTTTTTTTTTCTTCTTCTTCTTTTCTTTCTTTTTAGTGATTGTTATTTTTTAAGGGAGGTCTGACAGTCTCACCCAGGGAATCTTAGTTTGACCCAGGCTTTTCTTGCAGCCAGGATGGATGCTGAGGAAGTTGAAGTCTGTCGTTGCTTTACTTGTACTGTATTTCACATCTGAGATTTCTTTGGTTTATTCTTTCAAAAGAGAAAATTCCAACCCAATAACCCAGGAATCCGGCTCATTCTGGGTGCATATTAAATACTGACTTTATCTAAGATTTATAAGAGAAGAACTTTATATTAAAAGTCTTTGTTTAAGCATTAATGATTTTGTTGTAAACCATTTAGACAGCACTTTATTTGAAAAGCTAAATATTGAGTGGGAGAATTTGAGTATGTAGCTTCTCCAGTGTCCAGCCCATACCTAATAGAAGCAGTGGGGGGAAATGGTCTATTTTGTCCTTAATGTTTCGACAACTCAAAGCAGACCAGAAGTCTTTGAAATGATATTTTCCTTTGTAGACTTAGTCTCTGTGACCCACTAATACTTGCTGTTGATTTGATTTTTTAAAATGATTCTTCAAGGACCTGCCTAAGAAGAGGCATTATACTTGCAATACAATGCAGACTGCCCTATTCAGTTGTAAGTTGCGGGAGAGAGTAGGACAGTGTGTTGCAGCTATAGGACCGCAGCTTTTAAATATTTTTACAATTTTTCCTTCCTGAAGAAAAGTGAAATATTGCTCTTGATGCTGGTATTTGATGATGAGTTCTCCCATTGAGGGTGTTAGGCTTAGTGTTTGCAGATAAAAGAGCACTTCAAAATTGCAAGGAAGTACACAAATGTAAGGTGCCATTATCATTTATTTTATTGGAAAATAGAAGCTTAGCCAAAAAAAAAAAAAACACCTCACTTTTTTTTCTTTTAAACACTGAAAAGGGATCACGAGAAAGAAATGCTTCCAATAGGAATGCTGGCCAGGGGTTGTCAGTTTAGGACATTCTTCACTGTCAAATCCTGTTTCTCACTTCTTTGATATGAACATCAGCTGACAGGCACTGAATGCAAAGCCTTCTTCATTGAGGTTTTATGCAGGCAACATAGCTCTTCATGGCAAAGCAGTCTGAAAAATGGGCACCTGCAGGATTTGCATGTGAAAAAAAAACGAGTCAGTTGCATTTTACTGGAGTCTATTACTGTAAGTTATGTAAGTTCAGTGAGAAAAGCTATTTATTTGTTCCTGTTTGGGCATTTAAAAGTTCTTTGTTTCACGAACACCTATTCCTCATGTAGTGATCCACAGACTTTATTGATAGCAGAAGCAAGGAGAAGTGATCCCTGGCTTTATAGAGGTTATTTATTATGGGATGGAGTAATTTTTAACCATGTGCTTACAGAGTGCACTTACATTCATAGTTAATTTTTAAAATGTGGCTTAAAGATGATGAACTCCTACAACTTTCAGGATAATCTATCAGAAGTTAAACAAGTACATAAAATGAAGTGAACATAAATGTCCTTTGAAAGCAGTCTAGGACTTTAAGAGCTCTATACTAACAAGTTAAAATCTATAAGAAAAAAAATTAAACCTTTCATACTTCTAAACTTCAGGAAAAATGTCTCCCCCCACACTTGTTAAATTGTCACTGAAGTGCCTTTTAAAAATATCATATTTGACCCTATTTATTTAAAAATGTCATATTTGACCCCAGAATAATGAACAAATGTTAAATCTACCAGAACAGCTTTGTGAACCTGGTATTATCCATCAGTGGGAACATTTTATCCAGAATAAGTTATTATTACCCAAAGAGACACCTTCCAACTTCACTTTTTTACAGCCATTAATATAAGAGTTCCTAAATAATGTTTAAAGAACAGTGAACATTTTATTAAAGCAAACATTAGTTCAGTTTAATGGAGGTAATTGTAAGTGATAAGACAGAGCAGGTTATCTCTGTGTTGTTTAAACAGAAGGAGCTACTTTGCACCATTTCCAGTAGCCATCTGTAGAAGAGAAGGGTTTGCACCTGTCTGTCCACACTAATTATAGATTAGGGCCAAAGAAATGAAATTCGAGGAGGTTTTCAGCTAATGAAATCCATACTGATTTTATTGTAAATGTGTTTTATGTAAAGAGGGTGATGGTTGAGTTATGAGTGAATAAATCGCTGTGTAGCTATTAGGCACTTGGTTTTGAAGCACGATTCTACTGCGTTAACCTTTGAGATTAAAAAAAAAAAGACAAACAACTTAGACATGGATGCTAGCCTTTGTTTGGCATCCATAGCTACAATTTAGTGAGCAGCAGTGAGGTTCAGTGTGCAATTGAAAAGTGTGCTGTAAAGCAGCTTAAATGTTAAGAATATTCTAATATTTTGAAATGCAGATGAAGTAGAAGGTAGGCACATAAAACATTAGAAAATTAGAAAGCTTTTTTCTTTTTTCTGCATTTCAGTTTCACATCCATGAGAAATTAAAGCAAAACGAGTAAGGAATGCATTCTGCAATAAAAGGTCACATGAATGTCTACCACATCTGTTTATAGTAATTATGAACATAATTAACATAAGAATTACAAATGAAATAATGACAAGCTGAGCAATGAGATATTATGCCATAATGGTCATATGTTGGAATTCTCACATTATAGCACACTAGAATTCACATATTCAAAGAAAGAAAGAAAATGCTAGATTTTTATCTGAATTAATGCTTCAAAACTTATCTGCCTGGGGCAGATGGACTTCTTGCTTTTATAGGAAGGTAACCTATTATTAAGAAAAGAACTAGTTGAAATTAAGATTTCTAGTCTCCAGCTTGGACTTTAAGACAGCTGTGATTATAGAAACCACTTTCTGTTGTACACTTATTCTGTGATTATACTTCTTGATTATTATATTGCGCTTTTTTTTTTTTTTTTTTTTAAATTGAAAGCTTTGCAGCAAAGTGTTTGCTTTGGAAGAGAGTCATGGATTCTTCCCATTTGAGAATTGGTTGATCTTTTCTAGAACTGTGAGCCAAAAGTCAATGAACAAACAAGGTAGTAATAGAAATACTATGCATTTACAAAATAAGAACATTGACAGATTAGCTTTTGCACAGTTTTCTTGATGCCCTTAGTGTTTGGATGCTTTTAAAAGAAAAATGTAAGCCTTTTCTGGGTTTGAAAGTAGTAGTGCATTGTTTTGTTTTTTTAAATAGCATTTTTTTCCCCCCAAAGAGCATGTAATGGAAGAATCAGTAAGCATTTGTAAGTTGTATTTTTTACTTCCTAGAGTTGTGTTGGATTTACAGGCATTTGCATGTAGTCTGTGTCCAAATTGATTGAACTGAAATGTAATAAAGAAGAAGGTATGTGTGATTGCATCTGGTTATTCTGAATGCAGTTTTCTATAACAGCTAGAGAAAAGGTGAAAGGTGAGTTTTTATGAGAACTAAAATGATACTCCAGAAATCCATTATTAAATTTAAAACGTTAGAATGGCCGATCTTCACCCATTTAAAGTTGACTTGATTTTGTAATGTGCCCTGCCAAATGGCTTACTTCCTACCCTTGCACCCCTCTCTTACTATTGATCCTGGTCACTTTTTGAAGATTTATGGAGAAGTATTACCTTGTTCTCATCTCAGTGATACCACGAGGTTTTCCACATTATTGGATTACTGGAGGATTGTGGCAGACCCCTTTTTATCTGACATTCATTGCATGACAAGATTTTTCACACATGCCCTTCCCCCACCTAGGTCCAGCTTATTTTCACTCTGCCTTACCTATCAAATTTTTCTGAATTCTCTTCTTGGTGTGGGAGCATGGGGTGTTGGGGCTGGGGGTGGGGAGTCCACTACCCATACAACTGTTTCTTGGTTAAGTGTTTTGGAGGGGGGTGCTTGATTAAACAATGCCTCTAATCAAATTTGTCTCTAAGAGACTCTCTTCCTTTTCTTTTTCTCTATTAACTAGCTTTATGCTTCCCTCTCCTCTACCATTTTGTCCCTTACCAAGACCCATGCATCAACTATGTTATAACCCGAAGTTTCACTGCGGCTGGGGCTACAGCGTATGTCATGAGTTATGCAGTTTATTGGCTACTTCGTTCTGAACTTGCTTTTCATTCTGCAGTGAGAGCTTCTTAACCAAACTTCAGTGCCTTGAAATACAACACAACCAAATACTCCCCCTCCCCCCAATAAAATAACCTTCTTTGCTGCATTATCTGCACTCCATTAAGGATCTGATCAGATGTTCAGATTGTCTGATGGGTGCATTTAAAAGTGAAAAGGGGCTCCCATGGGACTACTCAGGTGTATCTCCCTCCTGACCCTGATGGGGTGGAGGATGAACTCTGATCTGACTGGGGAGCATTAGCTCTTGCTTGTTTTCTGATTGATTCTCCGGCTCTGGGTGGGTGAGGAGCTGTGAAGCAGCTCAGGCCGAGATTGATTGCCTCAATTTCAAATTCCCACCTCCAAAATAGACTCTCAGATGTACACATAGGGAACCCCTTCCCCCAACACAATTTCTGGAGGTGGAGCAGGTGTCTAAGAGTCACTTGTAGCTACCAATCACAAGTGGTCCTTCTTATCACAGTGATGCTGGCAGCACAAGTCTTCTGCTGGGACACTTTCAAGCCCAGGGAAAGATATTTTCTGTTGATGTGGGTTGGGGAGGGGTGGAATTTCAGAGTATTGGGGCCAGAAAAGAGAGGAACAAGAACTAACACTCGTGGTTGATCTGGAAGACTGCGCAACAGCTGTGAGGGCTCAAATGGGTTTGTTTTGCAAATTGTGGCAATTCGGCTGGAGGTGAGATGGTGAATGTCTCATTGTTATGCTCTGCCAAAAAGGGAGCTCTTGATCCCTTCTGACCTTGACAGCACCTCCAAAATGTTCAGTCTGGCCCTGGAACGGGGAACTGCAGTTGGCTAGTCTGGATTCCTCCCCTTTTCTTGGAGGAGGGGCAGTTTGGGATATGTAAGCAACCCTCGGCCAGCTTTGGGGTCCCTCGTGCCCACTTGCTGCCCCCATCCTGGGGCCTGAGCCCCCACCTCCTCCATCCCTTTCGGTTTCTTCCCTGCAGCCTGTGCCTCTTCCCTCTCCCTCTCTCCCTCTCCCACTTTTCCTCCCTCTCGCGCTCCGTCTCACACGCACCCTCTGTTTATTTTCCTGCCTCCATCTGGGCCCTGCTGATATTGTAATCACCCTGATGCACGTTGGCTTCTCTCCTCTCCCTCCTGCGCTCACACACTCACTCACACACAATGTGCCATCCTGACAAGCCTTTTACTTCTGATAAGCTCCGATGTGTGTTTAATGAATACAAAGCCGCGGTCTGGGTGCCGCCTCGGCTGCGGCCGCCTCTCCTGCGCTCCTTTGCCAGAAGGTAATCTCCGTGAACGGGGAGGGGAGGCGAGCGGGGAGGAAGGAGGGGTGGGGAGGGGGGGTGGGGGGAGTAGGGAAGCTGCTTTTCTCTTTCCCTCTCTCCCTTTCCAAATGATTCAGAAGTCGATAAGACCAGGAGAAGTGAAGATGTAACATGTTATCTGTCGCTCCTCTTAGCTGGTGGAGAGAATTTACATTTAAAGATTAGCAGAGGGAGAAAGAGAAATCTGCCTTTTGTTGTGCGGGGTGAGGAGGAGGCATCAGTCCTGGCCTGGACGCTATCTCCCATCACCTCTGCTATCCAGACAGGACTCACCGAGGTGAGATTACCGGAGGGCCTTATCTTTAATTGGGTTTAGTTTTGCCAGTCTGAATAGGTTTAAAGAGACTCGATAAAGGGGGAACAATAGATTATTTATTGACTGAACGCTGCAGCCTTTAGATGAAGAGGGGAGAGAAAAAGCTGCTTAACAACTTGATTAGTTTATTTTAATTTTTATTTTAAGGTGAGCCTGTCTCTCTCCTGGTGCAGGGAAGGGCCATTGAACTTATGCGAAATTGACTGAAATGTCTTCTTCCTCTTCAGCCCCCACTCCCTGCCCTTCTCAGCACCATCTCCCTTATTTTAACAGGAGTTTCATTTACCCCTTATGTTCGGATTGATAAACTGAGCAGAAAGGGTAGTGGCTTTTGGGATTGATCATTCGTGTTGGGTTTTATGTGACTTGTTTTGAATGGGTGTTGAACTGATGCTAATGGTGGTACTTGAATGAGTGAGAAAAGCAAATGAAGACTACTTTTAATATGCAGTTAATCAGTTTGATAGTATGGTTTCAACATGGTTTAGAGAAAAAAAACATCATTCTGACGCCGTTGAGTAGAGTTGTGTTTTGGATTTGAAACACGGAATTTTTTCCTTGGAGTGGGTTTAAAAAAAGAAGAGTAAAAAAAAAAATGTTTTATTGACTCATGAGTGTATTTCAAAAAATTACAGTGTCAACTTTGTAATGTTCTTAAAATGGATAAAAGTGAAAAAAAATATTGTCTGCCTTGTACACATCATTAAGATAGGTGTTTTCATAGGTAAATATGATCCAGTAACTAAAAGCCTAATTAAAATTTGTTTAAAGCCTGGGTGGGGGGCATGTTTCCTTGTTGACAGCGGCAGATCGATTGGGTAAGACAATAGAGTCCCATTATTTCACTTCCATTGACTGAACATATTGACATTTCAGGTTTGCTGTTGCCTCAGTGAGCATGATGAAACACTGAAATTCACAGACCAACTGGTCAGAGTGGCACATACATTACTGTATGTCATTTCTGCCTTCAGGTTACCTTATCACCGTGGCAGAATGGGAATGGACAGCCCAGAATCCTTCAGAAGGGGTAGAGCTCTTTTGGCTAAGAAACTGACAGGTAGCATGTCTTAGGAGCATCTGTAATTTTACCCAGAATTGGATGTTACGGAGAAATATGTGGAGCACTTTTATTGAAAAGGCTGAGAAGCATCCTAGCTATTAATCTTGCACATGTTACATATAAGAATACCCATTTTCAAGATTTATCTTTACCTCCTTCCAGAGGTGTCTACAGGGAGTGGTTGGTCACATCATTTAGGTGTTTACCGGCTTGTGCTTGGGTTAGAACTGTTCTTCCCCAGTTCGGGGTAGTCAAATGTTAAAGCACCTGCTAAAGCTACATCTGATAAAAAGAATGTGTAAGGCCCCTTCCAAAATAGAGCCTGGCTTTGACTTTTTTGTTTCTTGTTTTCTTTTGGTGGGTGGAAAACGAAAATGGGATGTATATATTTTATGCCCATAGACGTGCATAGACAGTAATATGTAAAAATAAACGTGTATATTCCAAGCAGAGGCAGAGAAAATAGTAAGTATTGTTCTTATCTTCTTAGTAGAATCGTCCCTTTTATACATTTTGCATAGTCTTTGCATAATACAAGTAAGTATTAGGCAGAATTGAGTCAAAGAAATTTGAGTCATACAAGAGTGAGTATGGGAAAAAAAAAAAACAGAAGGGACTTAACATATTTTTTAAAAAGTTTAATGAAAATATAAAACTATTATGAATATGCTTTATACACAGCAATTGTTGCCATCAAGTAGGCAACTGATACCCTTTGCAGTGTTTAGAACAAAACTAGTCCTTTATACCATTTTCATGAAAATGTTAGGTTTCTATTTGATCAGCAGGTGCTGTTGAGATGAAAGCCATGTGTAAATTTTCAGAAGGCCAAAAGTGTCAATTCAGAAAAGGAAAGTGATAAGAGAAAATGCAATCAGTTTTCCTGTTTTCAATTTGTGCAGGATTTGAAGAGCTGTTTTGTTAAACTGCTACATCTGCTCCAATATGAATATTGAACTACTTCCACTAAAAATAACAGCCTATAATTTGGAAGCTACTGCAGTCTTTTGTTAGTGTGAGTGGGTTATTTAAAAACAAAAAAAAACAAAAAAAAAATAAAAAAAAGACAATTTTCTATTCTGACAATCTCTTGCTTAATGTGCATTTTCATTTGTTGGCACTTTTATCCTCAGCAGATAAATGGTATTATGCAATTAGGACCTCATCTTGTTTGACTATGGAAGAGGTTTCCATAGGTGACAATCCTGGTAATATAAAAAGGGTTCACACAAAGCAAAATTTATTTTTAAATAATTTGTTTAAATGTACTTATTTAAAACGAGATAGCTATTCCTTGCATTCTCTAATACTACAGTTTTTAACTTACTGCTGACTATTATAACAAAGTTAACACTATTCTGTTGCATACTGAGCGTTCTGTGATTTATTTCACCTTTAATATACCTGCAAATGTAAGTTTAAACTAATCAGGGATATTTTACCTAACAGGGCTTTCAGAATAATTTTTTTCATGCTTAAATAAAATGATTAAATTATGCTTGAGTGCCTGCATACAAAAGCCTTAGCTTCTATGGTACTGCTAATCAAATAAGTTTTATGGACAGGGAAAGCACCACATTAGAGAAAAATTGGATGCATTTTACTAGTGACGTTTCTAGGAAAGACAAGTTCTTTGTAAATCATCTAGTATTAATGAAGAAGAAAACTCTAACACATCTTAAATAATCGTAATAAAAATAATAACTTCATCCTTTTAATAAGGAAATGAATAGCATTGCTACCCATGTAAAACTGGGCGTAGAGAATTAAGGTAGAAAGAAGACTGATGAAATTTGGATTGGGTTCAGTATTGACTCTATCCACAATTGCTGTTGGGTTGACTTGTGGCTGTAGTAATTTGTCCAGGTTGAGACGTGATCATCGCTTAGGATCAATTGGAGGCTATGTAGCTTTGTGGCTTCACACTTGAATGGCCAGACACACTCTGCACAGCTAAACTCAGAGTATCTCCAGGATGGATTAAGGGGAAGACAGACATTGGGACAGAGGAGGAGGATGGATTAACACATGCAGTGTGTCTTCTGCACCACCAACTGAAAAGAAGTGGTAGTTTAAAGAACAGTAGTGAGTGTGTGTACCTGTGATCCCATGTATGTGACCATTAAAATAATGCTTTTAAACAACGTAATTTCCAGTTTGAAGCCAAATTGTGGCATATTGTGCTGGCTTATCTTTCAGAGACACAGCACCAGGTACTCTGCCATTCTCGAGAAATGGTGCCAAATCACAGATCGGTGTAAGGAAAGTTTATTTCACAGAGACAGCCCCATCATTTGGGGATGTGATCTTCTATTGAGTTGTTTTGTGCTGAAGCTGCGTTCAGCGTTGAAGCCTCAGTACTTTATAAGGCGGCAACGGCTGGGGCAGTGGATGGCGGGGGGAGCCTCTTATGACTCTTTTCAAAATGTTCCTGCTTTAAAAGGTGATGTCCAGGCTCTGATAGGAGAACCACTGATGCAGTAATGCCCCATGGTTGAGGTTTAAGGCATGAGACCCTCCTGTTTGAAGAAGGTTCAAGCCGTCAATGCTGCTGAGAACCACTAACCTTTTCAGGGGACTGTAAGAGACCTACTTTTAAACGCCCCCTACTTTGATAGTTCTAATTGAGATTACCTCACAATGCAGTCCATGAGGGAATCAAGCAGGCGTTTGTTTTAGAGATTTCATATTGGTCAGGATCTCTAAAGCAAATCACTGTTTGGGTGACTAGGGCCTTGAGAATATAGATCTTGTTGAATGAGCACACAAATGGAAAAATTTCCCATTTGTCCCACAATCTCAGCACCTCTAAGTGCCTTAGGGAATGTGATTGACTAGATTCATTAATCTTTTAACAGCTGGGTCATAGACCACTTCTGAGTGTGCTCTGGGCTTTCAAGGGCTGCCACCTAGTTGTTGGTCTTGGGAGAGAGAAGAGGAACTGACACATATTGGAGACCTACTATGAGCCTGGAGTTCACCCTCCCCTACGTTGTCATTGATGATTTTTAAGTAAATTATAAAGCAGCGTTTCACTTCATTTCCCAGACTGCATGTAGTTGCTCTCCTGGCTTGGCCTTTTGCCTCACTATGGAAAACTGAGATTTCCTTGTGTTCCCAACTCAGTTACCTACTTTGTTCCTGAGTTCAAATAATTAGAGGCTTGTTTTCTGAATACCTGGCTTAATATTCTCCTTAGCAGCCATGATCCGTGCATCCATTGTTTTCTTCTTGCTCTCACCCCAGCCTAGGAATCACAGCTGACAGCCATCCTTGGACACACCCAAGAGTATGCCAGTCTGTATCCCTCAATACCTCCTAATCCAGGCTTTTCCATTACTAAATTCTGTTCCCTCATCAGAATACCACCTTCCTGCCCTACATTGAAGCCATGAGGAATCAGGCTATTCCCTTTATTGATCTCATTTGGCACTCTCGAATTGTCTTCTGTCCAGTGTCCCTCAACTCAGTTGGTCATGCTGTTATTTGGATCTCTGCATCTCCCAATTCAGCCAAGTCCAACTTCCTGGTCATTTCTTGGGAGGAGAGGGATTCTGCACCATTTGGAGCTTGGAGGTG